TCGAGAGGAAAAACTATGCATGATGGTGCACTTCTTCTTGTGGGATTCATGTGGTCTCTAAGTGTTCTAGCACGGTTATTCTCATTATTCTCATTATGAAGTGATTGATTATCTTCTTTGGCCATATTTTCTGAAAATGATGAGGATACCCTACAAAGTCTACCACTTGATGTACGTGACCACACTCTCATGCACGTGTAGGAATAAAATAAAAGGAAGAAGAAAATAAAAGAAGAAGAAACAAGAGAAAAGAAACAAATTTATATACAAGAAAAGTGAAAAGAAAAAATAAAATAAATATTATAATTTATACAAAACTTACCTCCCCAGCAACGGCGCCAAAAACTTGACACGACGAAAAGATTGATGTCTTCTCCCAAGCGTAGGAGTGTCGAAGTAATAAATAACCCGGCAAGACCGGGGTTGAACCACAGAGAGGTTAATTGTACAAATTATATACAACAATTATAAACAACAACAATAATAATAACAACAACAACAACAATAGTAATAGTAATAACAATAATACCAATAATAACAATAATTACAATAATAATAATAGTAGTAGTAGTAGTAGTAGTACTAATAATAATAGAAGAAAAAGAAAAAAGAAGAAGTTGATGAGAACTTTGAGATGGAAAGATTAACATAAGGATTAAACAATGATAATAACAAATGTCAAGGTTAGAGGTTCTACTAATGGTATGTCAAACAAGTATAGTATAAACTCTTATTATTCAATTGGAAACCACACACAAAGGAGGTTCCAATCTGATTATAGATTGTTAACATGATTACATTAGTAATCTTATTCAATTAATGCTAATACTTGTAAATCTCGTCAAGCATTCATGATTATAACTTATGTTAACAACAAATCAAGTTCCTTTCATAGCTCAGGTGTCGGTTATACCATACATTATGGGCTATGAAAGTGCCAAGCATTTGTTGTACCAAGTGTTATACAACATAAATCAAGATTAATCATTTAACAAGCAAAGTATTAAAGAGTGAACAAGATAACAAATATAAAACATGTTAGTATCAAACATTAAAGTCCATATTAAGTTTACATTATACTTATTCTTACACCATTAGTGTAACCTTTTCACCTTGACATAACTAACTTAGCTAGATTAACCTTTTCACCTTGACATAATAAACTTAGCTAGACATAATGAAAGAAAGAAAAATAGATAAACAAAATAAGAACATAAATAAGATAAAAGTTAACTAAGTAAAGGAAAAGAAATGAAAGCCATAAACTTGATATTAATGAAAGCAAAGCATAAACATTACAAAAAATACAAAAAGAGAAAGCAAGAGCATGATCTTGATCTGGACACCAAGATGCCTAAATGCATGGCAGATGCCTCCTTTTATAGGCCAAAATTGGGAACTATTGATTTGATGACTAATTGATGAGTGGGTGGCCAACTCTTGACTTGGTGACAATCTTTATCTTCTCTTGTCTGCCCAAAACATCATTGATAACGTCAAAAGTGGAGCCACTCAAAAACATAAAAGTTGTAGGCAATTGTCTCAACTTTCTTGTGTAAAAAATTCAGCTTATTTCAACTTCTAGAACTCCAGATATGGTCAAAATATTGAACAGTGCTCGGGCTAGAGGACAGATTCGGGCTTCTTTGTTGTTGCAACAATTTGGACTTGAAAATGGCCTTTTTAGATCTTAGGATCCTATGAAAGTTGTAGGCCTATGTCTTACCTTTCCATCCATATAAAGTAGACCTAAATCTGAGATCTATAGCTCCAGATATGACCCAATTACCGAATAGTGTTCCGGTTTGGATTGCACCGACATCTCTTTTCTAAGTTTGGTCATCTCTTTATCCTTTCAATTTCAATTCTTAAATTCATCAATCAATCCTTTCATTTATGTGATAGGCCTGCATTAAAAATAGACATTTACCACAAATTATAGGTATCTTATATTATTAGATACATTATTATAAAACATATTTTAGTTAAGGAGTTATTGATACTTCAAGTGCAAAATGATGATATAAAACCATGATAAAAATGCACTTTTAAGTACTAATCACACCCCCCAACCAGCTTATTACTAGTCCCTAGTAATCAAAGCGTAAACACTACAACTCAAAATATGTTTAAAATACTAAGTAGTGCTGCTGGTGAATGTGGTGGATAGGCCTTATGCTCTTGTGTGGATGAAATTTCATTTCTAACATCAGAAGTTGAGCTAGTCTTCTTCATGAAAGTTGTTTGAAATTGTATTTTCCTTCCACCCACCAAATTTCATGGCATTTGGCCTTCTAGAAATCAAGTTATAAGTAAAAATCTAAGCAGTGTTTGGGTTGGATTGCAGGACAAATTCTGACTCCTCTTTTGTGGCTAAACTTTGAATTTAAAAACGACAAATTTGGGTTTTTTCATGTCATTAAAGTTGTAGGCTTATTTCTTATCTTTCCAGCCATATAAATTAATCTGAAATCCAAGATCTATAACTTTAGATATGATCTAATGACTGAACAGTGTTCAAATTTGAATTGAATCGGTATCTTCTTCTTAAATTTAGCCTTTTCTTTATCGTTTCACTTCTACTAGTTAATCACAACAATCAATCCTTTGAATTGTGAGAATACTTGGATTTTAAATGAGCATTTACCATAAAATAAAGGTATCTTATATTATTAGATTTGTTATTATAAAATATGCTCTAGTTAAGGAGTTATTGATATTTCAAGTGCAAAATAATGATATAAAACCTTGATAAAAGCACACTTTTAAGTATTAATCATAGATGCTTGTCAAATAACATGTTTACTGAATTAACTAGCATGATAATTTCATATAGAGAGATCACTTATATATATGAAAAGGTTCATATGAATTTTATGTAAATGATCCTTAGATTTGATATTAATAAGTTATCTTACATACAAAGTGTTATATCTTGATCCTGCTACATGTTCTAATCAATGGTAACAAATAGGTAAATATTAGGTATAACATGAACTGTATGAAGGTATTTAAGTAACCAATAGAGGATTCATCACCCTTGATGAATTAGAAAAAATGTTTCATTTGTTTTTAAATAGTATTGATTGTAAATCATTGTATAAGGTGGAATGAGATTTGCAAATAGTTTCAAATCTTATTCAGATAATCAATGACTATAATATTAAAAACAAATATAATTTGAGATGGTAGATACACTTCATGTTTTAATGTCTAAATTAAAACATTGTTGATTAAGGGACAATAATTGCATCAAAAAATTAGTCACTGAAAAGTTGAGTCAAACCACTTATGACTTTTCTATTATTTGAGGAATCATGACAGGTTGCAAGACATTGTACTTGATCTTTAAATATAAATCAATTAATTATTGAATTGATAATAAATTAATTTGTTTAATTCTATTTTATTTAGGATTGTAATTTATATCTAGACCAACTTATTAGGAAACCTAATTGGTCATACATATAAAAATAATTGATGAAAAATTAAAATGAAATGATTAATCAAATATAACTTGATTGTAAATAATTTTTAGAAATTGAAGACTAGAGAGTAATTTATATAGAGAATTGCAATTCTACACCTAGAAAAATCATGTAGGGACTTAAATGAATAAATTTTTAAAATTAGCTTAAAATAATATATGTGATATTATTTAAGAGACAAATTGATATTTTTTCATTTATAGAGTTTTTAGGTTTTCTATAAATAGAATGCTATACCTTTTATTTTATGTGGATAGTGAAAAATGTGACTAGAGTACAATATTGATATATCTAAAATATAAAAGAAAAGAGTTAGCACTTTAAGGTATAGCAATATCTTTTTCATAATAGGGTTTGTGAGATTTTTTACTGATGATTCGTGTGAATTACAATTAAATATTAAATAATTAAACGACTTGTGATTTGTAACAACCCAGCCTTTGAAACAAATATTTAAAGCCAAAAAAAATCCAATCTTTAGCTAATTTTCATATAAAATCCTAAAATAACTCTGGATATATCTAACGAGATTATTGAAACTCTTAAAAAAATTTAAATTTATTACTTTTCACAAAACTAAATTTGATTCTCATCAAGGCTTTATCATCCATCTCTTCCCACCTTGCATTTGTCATTGTACCTAGTTTTTTATCCTTTAACAAGAAAAGAATCCCTGTAAATCCTACAGTAGAATTTTAATTCATGCCACATTTTAATAGTTGTAAAGAAACCTCTTGAGAAAACAATAAAGTTTGGAAAGTAAAGTGAATGAAAAAAAAACATAATGATATGAAAAAAAAATGAATTGCAAGGTATAGAGCTTGAATTGAAAATTTGTGTAATGAGACGGGCAAAAGAAATACAGTGAGGGATACTACTCTCTTTAAATACTAATACTAAGATTCAGCTCCTGTCTTACGAGACAGGCAAAATAATTAACCCAAGAGCTAGCTTTCAACTAGGAAATAAATATTTTGAATCGAACACTCATAAAGTCTTCCAAGTTAGTTAAGCTTTGAATAGCATTGGACATCATGGAACCATCATGGTCAGTTGCAGTAGCAGTACTAAATATCAATCATAATGCTTCTTGGTCATGCCACATGTTTTCTTTTAGATGAATCAATTATCATATTTTTTTTTTAATATTGAAATTATTAACAGATAGGCTGGGTTTTTTTTTAAAAAAAAATACGGGCTCTTGATCCCAACGGTCCCTCGCAATTCATCCCTCAAAGACAGAATATTAAAAAAAAAAAAAAACGAAAATTGAAAATTCCTGTCTTACGTCAGCCACCAGTAGAAATGCTCCACTTGACATTTGACAACACAGTAAATAAGGTAATGAAAGCGCCAAGCAATCATCACCTGCCCGCCAACCTGTCCATCGCATCCAACTTACAGTTTCTACAATTTACCCGCACGCGCGGCATCTCCTTTTAAAATCTTTCCACAGCCACGCACAGCACAGAGGCCGCTTTTCATTTCTTCTGCCTGCCTGCCTGCCTTTCCCTCAGTACTCGTGTTTCTCGTCTCAAGCTTATTATTCTTCAAAGCAAGCCGTACACAAACACGCTACATTTACACACACAAACACCAGGGGATAAATAATACTGGTACTCGTACTATTTTATTTAATTTGCTTAGGCTTTCTTTCTACTTCACATGACTACTTGCAATTCTATTAATGTGTCTTGCAGCTTTTGACATTCCCTTAGCAGACACTAAAGCTCCCAAACCCCCTTAAACTATACTTCACTGTCCGTAGGATCTCTAGCTACCCCAGCTAGCTTGCTTCCACCCTCTTCCTGTCAAATCCTCCTCTGGGCCTTTATTCACTGGAAGTCTTTTCTTTTAAGTACCTCTGTTTGCCCTCTACATTTCTTGTGCTCAAAACATGTACAAGAAGGAGAGATCTTCAAGGGAAACCACATTCCCTCAGAGAAGAAGGACCCCATCTTTCTCTTCGACTCTTCTTGATTCTATTTACCGTTCGATTGACGATTCCAACGGCGAAGAACATGTGTTGGGGCGATACTCCAGAGAAACAACCATGATCAAGAAACAGGGTTGCAACTCTGTTTCAACAACCAGGCGTGATGCACCATTTCTTGAAGAGGAGAAACAAGCACCTCCTACTCTTCGGCGAGCTGTCATGATTGAAAGCTGGATGGAGAAGCGAAGCTCTCGTGGCTCTAAACATTATAACTCGACCTCAAGCTCTTCAGACTCTAGCTCTGCAGGAGGAGGAGGTGGAGGAGGAGGAGGAGGAGGAGGAGGAGGAGATGTGTTCTCGTCCTCCGAAAATGAGTCCAGTGTCAAAGAAAATTCAAGTTTTGCCCAACAAAGAACCAAACCACTTTCAGATACGCCCCAACAGAAGCCGAGGTGTGAAGGCGGAGGCTTTAGTAAGACAAAGTTAAGAGCATTAAAAATCTATGGTGAATTAAAGAAGGTAAAACAGCCAATTTCACCGGGTGGTCGCATTGCAAGCTTCCTAAATTCTATTTTCAATTCAGCAAGTGCTGCAAAGAAAGTGAAAATGTGCTCTATTGGGGCCATGGAAGATGTAAGTTTCGAGCGTAAATCAAAGTCTGCTTGCTCATCGGTTACTTCCTTTTCAAGGTCTTGTTTAAGCAAAACACCCCCTCCAAGAGGGAAACCAAGCAATGGCGCAAAAAGGTCAGTTCGATTCTATCCAGTCAGTGTCATTGTTGGCGAGGATTCTAGACCTTGTGGGCATAAATGTATTTATGAAGATGATCCAGGATTGATGCCAATGCCTCAGAAAGCTGTCAAGAGTACTTCTGTCAGGGAATTAGAGGTTGCTAGGGGAGCAGCAGCAGGTTATTGGAGAAGGAGTTGTCATCAAAAGAAGAGTGTCAGTGAATTTGATTTCAGGGGTTTTCACAGGTACGTTGAAGGTGATGGTGATAGCAATAGTGATGATGATGAGAGCTGTTCAAGCTCTGATCTTTTTGAGCTCGATCATCTTATTGGGATTGGAAGGTACAGAGAGGAGCTCCCAGTGTATGAAACCACTAATTTCAAAACTAATCAGTCCATTGCTAATGGCTTCATTCTGTAATATTCATGTTGTTATCAAAACGCAAATCTAAATCATCAATGTAATTAATGTTTTGGGGACTTATCTAATCAATAATTTATTTATTTTCTTTCTAGTCATATTCATTTTCTTTTTAGTCAAAGGTTATTTGAATTTTCTTCTTCTTCTTTCCAAGGCTTTTAGCCCTCCATCTAATCAAAAAAAGGAGAAAAGGTGGTTTGTTTTCAATGGAAGTAATGTTTGAAAGGAGCAGTAATCAAGGAGAAGGGATTGTTGTATGAATTGAATTGCAGAGAAGGAATATATTAATGAACATTCAACACTCCATTCACACGGTGAACCGTTAAAGCAAAACACAAAGGTGAATTAACAAAGTGAGAAAAGGAAAGAAAAGCAGATGGAAATTTTTCTTCTCCCCATGAGAAGTGATGTTCTTGCTTTTTCACTGCCTCAGCACATGGCCTCAACCTTACAAGTAAAATAAAAGCCATAGAAAATGATTGCAGCTTATCAGGGTTTTCCATTTTTCTTTTTTCTTGTTTCCGTCGTCATAGAAATTTTTTATTGCACTACACAGGACAATTGCTCTCTACAAGTATCTCACTCTACTTCTAATCCTTTATCACTAGAGCACTCAAGCTAATCATGTTTTTTTTTTTTTTCTTGTCATTCAAATTGGAATTCCCCTTTATTTTATTTTTTTACCTTGTTCGATTATTTTTTCATTCTTTTTTTAGTTTTTTGGCTATCATTTATTATGTTGATTTTCTTGTTGCTTTATATTTCCAAAAACAAATGACAAAATGGTTCTCATTTATTGTCAAGGTAAGTATTAGCCTAATTCTTGACAATTTGATACACAATTCTAAGTGATGTTGTTGTCATAAACACCAAACTATACAGTTAAATAATTATATATGCACTTCAGACAAGTAGAGACACACCCAGGGAATCTCTCGAGTCTAAACATGGCATGAGTAGCTTGCAAAAATCCAAAGAAGTTTTTTCACCAAAGAAGAAAGGTTAGTAATCTACTTGACTATATATATTCCATGGATGATATTGATATGGAACACCATTGGCCACTACCATTGACCTTTAAATCATTGTTACTTTAAAATCCATTTTGAAAGAGGAGAAGGAGAAAACACAATTTAGAAGGAAATAACAAAGAAAGAGGAATGGTAAAGGCAATATGACTCTTCCCTTACCATTTATTGAGAGGTTGTAATATTGTACTAGGATTTATCAAATACTTAAAAGATAAGCTATCCTTAAAGATTACAAGTAAGTGCATATATACATACATACATACATACATATTTATATATATATATATAAAGATTCTTTTTAAAGCAGAAGTCATTGTCAATTTAATGATATGATCATTTTGATAGAGAATTGATATAATCCATGATATAAAAGTAAATTTGATTTGATGATTTCAAATTATAATCATTGTATTCTTATAATTCAATATAAAAAAGGATAGAAAAGGCTATCTAATTTTAGATATGGCAAAAAAACTTTTAGACTGTGATGATATCCTAAAAAATTCAAACAACTTGAAAACAATGTTTATGTGTTAGATAAATTGTTAATGTTTTTAATTTTGATAATTTTATTCTCACTTATCAAGATGGTTAGGGGTTGATGTACGATATAGATCCATAAAAAAAAAAAAATTGATTGCTCACATCATTATAGAAATAGACAAGCAATCTTATAATGGATTTTTTTTTTCTCTTTAAATCCTTGAAGAAAAAGTTGATTGCTTACATCATTGTGGAAATAGATAAGCAATATCATAATGGATCGTTTCTCTCTCTCTTCAACTTCTTGAAGAAAAAGTCATTGTTCACTTCATTGCATAAATAAATAAGAAATTTTATAATAAAGTTGTTGAGTTGATCAAAATTTATTTTGGGAATAATAAATGTTCATGTATCTAGGACCTAACACAAAGTTTGACTTTCAAGATATATTGGTGACACCTTGTTAAACATAGTTTATCAATGTGTGAAGATGATAAAAAAAAAATTAAATCATAATGGCATGCTTATCTTACTCACACACTCATGTATTTTTTTTTATCAAATAAAGTGATATGCTTTCATAAATGAAGATTGACCATTGAAGTATGTATCTCTTTTCAAAGTTGTCAATTGTGAGTGTTTTTAGGCTCAAAATTAACTTTATTAAGATTTATTTCTTTGGATGATGTGGCTAATTTTTTTAAAAAAATTATTAGTGGTTCAAGGAAGGTTTTTTAGGTTTCAAAGAAGATCTTTAAACAACCAAATGATGTTTTTTAATATGAAGAAGCTAGTTAAACTTATCAATAAAAATAAAAGAAACATGATTTGATATGACAGAGCCTTTGTCAGAAATTGTATTATTATATCTTTTTTCACCACAAGCTTCAGTCATATCAGTTCTTTTTATTTGTCATCTTGACTTAAAATCCTTGTTTTACCCATTTCCAAGGCATTCATCTCTTTTCTCTCGTGATATCCCTAATAATCTCCTCAACAATTATTCAAAACCTTCTTTTCAATTTTACATTCTACATCGTTCAAGAGAAATGGTAAGAAGATTATATTTATATCCAATAAAAGAACATGTTATTGGATCTTGTGTGAGGTTGAAAAGCGCAAAACTTGAAATTTCTTAAAAACATTATTGATGAATGTTGTGTTAATTTATTCAGGGTCAGCATAAGATGAAAGCATAAAAGAAATTTGCACCACCTTTTTCAAGCTCCTCGAATGAATAAGAGTAGGAGATTTATCTCTTGAGAAAACCCATGTTCAGCTTTCTAAAATTCAAAAGACTAATGAGAAAGACACAGGCACGGCCAATTCATTAAAACTGAACCAGATTTTGCCAAGATGGAGTGTTTTACCTAACCAGAAACATAAAAAACATACAAAACCAACTTCTGAATGAAGAATATGTTGGAAGAATCAGCTGCAAGGAATCAAGTTCTAAATGGACTATCATGTCATTGCAGCTGATGTACCTATTGATCTTTCTACATATTTTATAAATATGATTCAAAAAGCTCTCTCTAACAAGGAATCAAGTTTTTTCTTTTAGGGTTTGATCACTAGAGTAGTTATTCTGGCTAAGGTTCCCTTGAGAGATGTTGAACTCATAATAAAAATGTTTGGAAAAATTTCAGCTATAATTATTGTACAATCTAAAATTATAGTTAGCAAGAAAAGATCTTCTAAAGATGATTCCACCTCATATTAACCAGACTCATCCTCAACCAGCCTATTACTTCCACTTATCATAGAGCAATAATAGTTTTTAACTAACAAGTTTAATAGTTTTACAAGAAGGTGGGATCAAAAATTTGAAGAAGTTGACAAGTTGCTCTTTAATATCCAATGAGATATGGTACATGTTAATGACAGGCTTGTTCAATTATGGTTGCATGTTGAGCAAATTCATCATATAGTTGTGGGAGATTGACACGACGAAAAGATTGTTGTCTTCTCCCAAGTGCAGGAGTGTCAAAGTAATAAATAACCCGGCAAGACCGGGGTCGAACCATAGGGAGGTTAATTGTACAAATTATAAACAACAATTATAAACAATAATTATAAACAACAACAATAGTAACAATAACAACAACAATAATAATAGAAGCAATAATAATACTAATAATAGTAGTAGTAGTAGTAGTAATAATAATAATAATAATAATAATAATAATAATAATAATAATAATAACATATAATTTATACAAGAACTTACCTCCCCGGCAACGGCGCCAAAAACTTGACATGACTAAAAGATTGATGTCTTCTCCCAAGTGCAGGAGTGTCGAAGTAATAAATAACCCGGCAAGACCAGGGTCGAACCACAGGGAGGTTAATTGTACAAATTATAAACAACAATAGTACGACAACAATAATAATAACAACAACAACAATTATAATAGTAATAACAATAATAACAACAATGACAATAACAACAACAATAACAACAACAACAACAACAATAATAACAACAACAACAACAATAATAATAATAATAATAATAATAAAGAAAGAGATGAAGAAGAAGAAGATGATGAGAACTTGGAGATGGAAAATTAATGTAAGGATTAAACAATAATAATAACAAACGTCAAGGTTAGAGGTTCCACTAATGGTATGTCAAACAAGTATAGTATAAACTCTTATTATTCAATTGGAAACCACACACAAAGGAGGTTCCAATTAGATTATAGATTGTTAACATGATTACATTAGTCATCTTATTCGATTAATGCTAGTACTTGTAAATCTCGTCAAGCATTCATGATTATAACTTATGTTAACAACAAATCAAGTTCCTTTCATAGCTCAGGTGTCGGTTATACCATACATTATGGGCTATGAAAGTGCCAAGCATTTGTTGTACCAAGTGTTATACAACATAAATCAAGATTAATCATTTAACAAGCAAAGTATTAAAGAGTAAACAAGATAACAAATATAAAACATGTTAGTATCAAACATTAAAGTCCATATTAAGTTTACACTATACTTATTCTTACACCATTAGTGTAACCTTTTCACCTTGACATAACTAACTTAGCTAGACATAATGAAAGAAAGCAAAATAATAAACTTAGCTAAACATAATAAAAGAAAGAAAAATAAATAAACAAAATAAAAACATAAATAAGATAAAAAGTTAACTAAGAAAATGAAAGGAAATGAAAAACATAAACTTGATATTAATGAAAGCAAAGCATAAGCAATACAAAAAATACAAAGAGAGAAAGGAAGAGCATGATCTTGATCTGGAAACCAAGATGCCTAAATGCATGGCAAATGCCTCCTTTTATAGGCCAAAATTGGGAACTATTGATTTGATGACTAATTGATGAGTGGGTGGCCAACTCTTGACTTGGTGACAATCCTTATCTTCTCTTGTCTGCCCAAAACGTCATTGATAACGTCAAAACTGGAGCCAAGTGGGTGGCCAACTTGCAAACATGAAAGTTGTATCCAATCGTCTCAGATGTCTTGTGTAAAAAATTCAGCTCATTTGGACTTCTAGAACTCCGGATATGGCCAAAATACCAAACAGTGCTCGGGCTGGAGGACAGCTT